TAAGCTCGGATTCGACTTCGGCTATTAGTATAAAGTGATTGTAATATTGCGATTAACTTCTCGGGCATTCCCTTCAGGGAAAGGCAGCCCCAGCTTTTAGAGCGGTCAACTGAGTCGAAAGCCGCTTTCAGGTCGAGGAAGATGGAAATGGTGGGTCTATGAAAAGTGTCTGTGTTCTAGGATTTGACGAAGAGTAAGGATGTGGTCAATACAACCTCAACCAGGTCTAAAACCAGCCTTGTTCTTACGTGTGCACCCTTCACGGGCAGCAGACAATCGACGGAGTATGATGCCGGGGAGAAGTTTAGAGGCAATTTTAATTAAACCAATTCCTCTGTGGTTTTCACAAGAGGACCTGTTGCCCTTCTTGTAAATTGGTATGATCACCGAGTCACACCATTCAGTTGGAACCTGTTCCTTTTCCCACACTGAACCCAGGAGTTTTGTTAACTCCAAAACCAAGGCTAGACTTCCATCCTTGAAAATCGATGGGGACAGCCCGTCTGGGCCGGAAGCCTTATGCCGTTTGAGGTGGCTTATTTCCCGGGTAACCTCTATTTCAGATGGAGGACTGATGTCAATTGGCAGTGTTTGCACAGTTGAATCAGGTGTAGGGAGGTCCTGTGCTGACGAGGGCCAGCTGAACTGAGCCTTAAAATGTTCTGCCCATCGATCTCTTTAATTACCTCACGCCTGCTTTCCTTGGACCTGTACTCCTAATTAATCGGAAAAGATTGCGACTATTACCGATAGCCGCAATCTTCTCCATCTCTCTACACTTTCCTACCCACCACTTCTCGCGGTCATTCCTCAAACTCTTGATGAGCTGGCGTTTAAGAGATTTGCGCGCTTTGTCGTAGTTTGAATCCGAAGGAATGGCTTTGCGAGCGTCCAGCAGGGCAACCGAAGACGGGGAGATCCATAGTTTTTTATTAGATTGTGAGTTCGAATTTGCTGTTGTTTCGATTGACATTTTGATCGCTTCCTTGATTGCCGTCCAGTGCTCACTGAGTCCTCCGGCTGATGGTTGTGCTGAGAGACGATCTGATAGTTCCGCCCCGAAGGCCGATTTGCAAACATCGGTGGTTAAATACGGAAAGTCGATCAGTATCAGTATTGTCACCTAGAAAGGCGATGTCATCGGCATATTCCAAGTCAAGGACCCTGTTCCCTGGGAAGAGTTCGGCTCCACCGTTCGCTAGACCGGACGAAGCATTCTGTAGAACATCCTCTATGACAAAGTTGAAAAGAAATGGGGATATGGGGTAGACTTGCCGAACTCCACTTGAGCCGACGAAAAGTGGCGAGAGGTGGCCACAGGCCCTAACCTAACCTGAGGTATGACCAGCGATTCGCTATGATCAGTGAGAATAGTGGCCCAATTCTGATAGATAAATACATTCAATCTGATCAGAGCATAGTGTAATCTGTGTGATATCGTTTTACAACAATCGTAAAAGAACATCAGTAGAATAGAAATACGCGCTCACCTCCTTCAGTTTCGTACGACGTCGCATACTAGCCACATACGGATTGATAGGGCGAGGTTTCGATTGTTGCTGAGTGACACCATGCACGGAGCTTTGATGTCTATTCAATCCAGACCGGGACATGTAGACTTTATCACAAGAAGGGCATGGATATTTCGTTCCGCCTGAAATGAAGTTGTAATTAAAAAAACCCAATTATGTATGATGAAGTTCGACACATCGGAATGTTGGTTTGCAGAACACGTGTAAAGCTAAAAATCAACTACGAAAAGTTTAATCGTTTTGGAGCCTTGACCCCTGGCATTGTTACGATTATAATTAATGAACTTTAACCGCTCAATTAAATGCACTTCGATGACTGGAAATATTGCAGTTGACGCTATTAGGTATTCGGTATCGGGAAACCATGTGTGAATTGGTGTGCGTCTCAGATGTTAATTAGGAAACAAAAATGAAACGTGAAAATGTGGGTTATTGGTTGGGGAAACAAAAAAAACTGAAAAGGCAAATAAATCAGGGAGAAGGTAAAAACAATCAGTCATATAAAAAAGTTATTGACAAAGTGCTGAAAATCGGTTCTCGTAGCCCAGGTGAACTGAATTTCATTTCGTTTGTTCGCCGAGTTTCATCATCAGCCGAGGTAGCATTGTCAGCGCTTGTGAATTTTCTTGTGGAATTCCCAACCGAAGTTTATAACTAACCAAAGCCTGAATCGCAAGGTAGCGGGACGGTGTGTGAAAACTACAATTCCTTTTGGGGGGCAGTGTCCTGTTAATCAAATAAGCTCTTCGGAATGGGTCCAACGTCAAAGGTGCTTAATACACTTCGATACCCAATCGAGCCGGCGTGTAATCACTACGTCTCTTGATTGGTTCGGAACCCGAGTTTTTTGACCCCCCCCCCTCCTAGGTGAACTCGCGGTGGTTCACCGACCCGCTAATAGTCCCGGATGTTGGCTTTTCGTTCTCTCACCGAGGTGGGGAAACACCTCCGCAACGGGAAGACAGTGAGTAGGGCTTCCTAAGCAGAGGCTGGTTGGGACGCTTGGTCGTACGGGCGCATTTCACGAAATGCTACAGCCCGAGACACCCACCCCGAACCGTACTGAGGCTTTTAACTTCCAATTTTCTTCGTTTTCAGTAGAGGCTTTCCAACGGCTGATGGAATTGGCTGTGTTTTGCAAGTGAGAAACGTAATTTCTATCAACAGATTGTGAAAACAGGCGATAATGTTCCTTAGGGAAAAATGCGACAGACCTCAAAATGAGTCAAAAACTACACTTGCCTTTTCCTTCAACATATTCATCATCTTCTCCAGACAGACCATCATTGATGTAGTCCGAGTAACCACCGTCTGAATGCTCATCCTCCTCACTGGATTCCGGCTTTACAGTCAAGTCCTCCAACCGCAAATGTTTGTAGTCTTTTACCTATAAACAGTGAATGTATGGACAGACAGGAATTATCTAAGTAAAGACCAATAACATGATACAGTACGAGTCAGTGCTGGAAATATTTCTCAGTATTATGAACTTCGGAACTGCGAAAAAAACTCGAGAAATTTTTTTAAACATCAGTGAGATAAGCGACCGGAAAGGTCAAGCTGATGGACCTATTACTTATTCATGCACTTTCGTGCTCCGGTTTTCGTTGCTGTCTTTTGGTTGCCCATTTGGATAAAAGAGCGAAATGAAGACTGGAATGTCGAAGTAAATTCAAGCGGAAGATGGGGAACACATATAGTGGTGTTAGGAAAATAACGAGTGGATGCACGAGAGCCACTGTTTGCGACACCCAGCCATATCACTCAGTGTCTCTAACCATCGGTGACCATCATCCCGAGGTCCCCAGTCAGGGAGCCTAACGGGGCCTATGTGACCTAGTCTCGTGGTTAGGGTTTTCA